TCAATTTGAAATTCCTGGGTGACTTCCTAAGTAAGTGCATTAACAAACTTGAATGTAAATGACACCTAACCGCCTGCCTGCCAGGGTTTTGTGGCAATTAGCATACTAGCATTGTTTTCCTAAAAACATGTCTACCATGGGTTAGGGTTATTAGGGTAATAGGGCTATTATCTACCTTATTAAGCCATAAAAGCAGCTCATGAGTTTAATTTTTGTAAACGAGGAAAGGTGAGACATAAAATGGCAATAAGACAGAGTTCGCCTGTTTGTGATGGGTCAAGTTAATTGCTGCATTATCAGAAACAGCCTGCATGTAAATGCCAGCTTGACCCCACATGGTCGCAGACCTGGTACCTGTGTTTGAAGCAATCATTTCAAAGGCAACACGATTGCAGGTTCATTGCATACATTTGCAATTATTTTGCCTGTTCTATAGTCTCCAGCCAGCGTTTTCACTATAGTGACTGCAGCATTTGTGGCACCACAGTGGTCAAGGCCACTGAATGAGATCAGGGGAGTAACCATGACAAATGTGCCAAATTCCACAGCTTTTTATCAGCATGGACCTCAAACGTCGTGGTTGGCTGTGCTGATTGCCTGCTTTGCTACCAATAAAAGATAAAATATTACTTGAAAGAGTGATACAAGAAACACTGACATGAACAAAGTAGCACCACTGCATCAGTTCGTCATACAGACTCTGCAAAATACATCTGAAAAAACTGTTAGCATCTCTGTTACCTGTCGATGCTGCTGATACAGTCTTTGAGGGGCACCAGAAGTCCCTCCCTCACAGGAAGCTGAAGGTCTTCTGTCTCTGTGATGACCAGCATGTGTGGGCGGGACAGTTCAGGACTGAGGTCGTAGAGGTGGATCCTGCTGTCATACGTCATCAAACCAACACGGACATCTAAAGCATCACCATCCTCCCTAAACAAACAGGATGAAACCTTAAAGACAAACCAGGATTCATCAAAATTGCACAGGAATACTACTGAACACTGTTTTACCTTTTCATAGAGTTAAGCAGCATTTGTATTTGTTGTGTTACGAATTCCAAGTGTCCTCCTCTCAGTGCTGAGACAGACACATCTATGGCTAGAAGGAGTGCAGCAGCTTCCCCCTGAAACAATATGACAAGCGTGTCACAGTTGTACTTAAATTTCACAAAGCCTGTTTTCAAGAGCAGCTAATGATCATCAACGTGCAAACAAAACTGTAAATGGGTAACCTTCTGAGAATTGAGGATTTCATATGACCCCGTGCTGAGTTCAGGCCTCTTCTCCTTATCAACCCGAACCCCGTTCACACCATTGGTAGGCTGGTAGTGCTGCCATGGTACTGAAACACAAGAGAAGACAGACAAACTGCAGCTACACAAAAAGCAACAAAATACAACAAAACTACACTCAGTTTGTCCACAGCAGTTCAATACACTGAAATGGCTTTTAAACTTCTTACTTGTCTTCATTCCACCAATATTTTAAGTATTTTTACTCAAACAAGTACGTTCCATAAATCCATAAAGTCTTCAGGTCAAAAAGACACAAAATATTTTTCTGTTAATAAACAGTACAGTGTAGAAAAAGTTAGACAAACTACTAAAGGAAACAAAAGACAGTACAAATTTAATTTAATTTAAAGTGAAAGCAAGGAGTTTATTATCGAGCTCGACCCCTGGAATACACGACTGCCCTCAGTGTTTGTACAGACCACATAACTACTGCATAGATGAAGTTTAGTGTATTTGAATTTAATCAAATATAGTTTTTTTTTGTATTTCTGGTATTTGTGAGTTTACCTTCTCTCTGTTAAATCTTACCTTCACTGAGTTTGCCACAGAAGGGGCAGTAAAACCTTTGACCACAATCCTGCCAGCCCATCGCTGGACACATGGAAGCTCCACACCCCCCACAGCCCACAACACACTCTGTCTCTTTGCACAGTGGGAGAGGCTTCTAGAGGCAACAAACAAACACATTTAATGCATCTAATATCTAAATGCCATATTAGTTAATTGTAGCAACAGTATTGTAGCTTCATCTCCATTTTTAACAGAATATGAAGCAAACTGAGCAGCGAGAAACTAACCTCTTCAGCACTTTGTTTTACCAGAGGGGTGATCAGAGCGCCCAGCGGCAGACGGCTAAGCAGAGCAGCCTGACCCTCACAGGGCACACAGTACGAAGTGGAGCGGATGGCAAAAGGACTTGCATTACCTACAACAGATATAAGCACACAGAGGATCAAAGATGGGATGCAGGTTTTAAGTAATGGTGATGCACTGGTGAATATGCCATCTGCAACCAGAGTGCTGGATAAAATAAATTTAGGAATACAGACAGTTTTGTGTGTGTTCACCTCTGTCCTCTACGATA